CTTTAAACCATGTTAAGAAAATTCTTCTGGTAAACAAATGTAATAATTATTAATTGTGTATAAAATTAACAGTTCTGTTGGCAATGAATGTTGGAAACTCAAACTCAATTAGGAACCAGTTTTTCTCACATATTCAAGAGAGGATCTGCTGGCTCAGCGGGACAAACCTGTTATGACATCATATCCTGGTAGAGCTGAGGAGGAGACCCAGGGGCTGCTAAGCTGGGGCTAAGCTGAAAGCACTGGAGGATCACTGGAGACCCTACAGACCATCAGTACCCTCTAAAATCATGGGAAATGTGAGCTTCCTGCCGTACAAGATCTAATCTTGAGAGCTAATCTTTTTATATGTTTAGCATTAGCAAAACTATATTGAATTGGGGCGGCTGTGGTAGAGTGGTTAGGGGAGTCGTCCTGGAACCGGAACCGGAAGGTCGCCGGTTCGATCCTCGTCCAGTCAACTTGGTCGTTGTGTCCTTGGGCAAGACACTTCACCCGCCTTGCCTATTGATGGTGGTCAGAGGGCCCGGTGGCGCCGGCGTATGGCAGCCTCGCCTCTGTCAGTGTGCCCCAGGGCAGCTGTGGCTACACTTGTAGTTTGCCATCATCAGTGTGTTAATGGGTGAATGTGTGTAGTGTGAAGAGCTTTGAGTGTCCTGGATGGATAGAAAGGTGCTATATAAGTACAGTCCATTTACTATATTTACCACATGTTTTAGTTAGCAGATTACGAGTTAACAAAGGTAATTTTTCGATCAGCTCTGTCCACAACTGTGAATAAATTTGTTGGTGGACTGTAAGTTGACCAAACACAATTTATCAGAAGCTAAATGGTCTGTTAATAATTTTCCAAGTTATTGAAAAAGCTGATCCCTTAAAGAAAATAAATTGTTTTGCTGTTAGCTTTTAGCTGATTATCAGAACCCCGCTCACCACTGGTCATGTCTTTGACTCAGCTAAATTTACTGATATTGAAACAAAATTTGGTGTCGTCGTAGCTGAAAGTCAATCACAATGTGCCGTACTCTGCGGTTAACAAAATATTTTCAAGGGTGTACCGAAGCAGCTATAACTCTGTCATTTCTCCACATGAACAGAACTCAKTTTAATGAGATCATTTGTTTTCCCCTGTTCTTTCCAGACTAACTGGTCCGGTTTATAATCTGCGTATTTGTGAAAAGTCTGTGTGTAAGGGTGGAACTTAAATTGTTATTCTTCTCCACTTTTCTGCTCCCTTTGAACCGCCTCCTATCGTTTTCTGCTCCATTTCTCCAGGGGCTATCAGTCACTCATTAAAACACTGCACATAATCCTTTAAAGGACACCCTTCTCAACGCACCACTGAATTATAATATTTCAGCAGACATCCTCCTCGATGAATAATTGAAGGATATTGAAGATTGAACCGGAGCCCAAGGCACAACAGGCATTTGTTTTCATCTGACAGGTTTTTTTTTTTTTAAGATGGCAGCCATTTCAGGGCAAACGTGCCAAAATATTAGACTGAAGATGTAGAAGTTTAGTCGCAAACACACAAAAGCACAACCCAAGGTCAAAGAAGCTACTGTTGATTCGATTCAAAGGGCTAATTAAAAACTCCATACACTGTTTTAATTTAGAGAAAATCAACTCAAAATAACTGAGTTACTTCTGTCTCTTATAGAAATCAGATGTTTACGTGACTCGAGGCATTTCTGTCTCAGTGACCCGGTTGTGGTGTGATTTATGTGGCCCAACTCTGTCAATGCCACGACTGGCCCGGTTGTGGTTTGGTTGGTGCTGGCCCATTCATTGACCACCTCTGGCAAACCACATCTGGACCACCAAAGGGCCCTCACTCGTGATATCTGGGCCGAGTGTTTAGTGCATTGTGTGGGCCAGACCTGGGCCAGACTAACATTGCTATGTAGGATAAGACCAGACTTGATGCTTCTGCCACTTGCCGTTGATTTTTTTGTCTGTTTGTCTTATTAAGAGTGCTGTCAGGGAGTGAGATCTGATCTAACCTAATGACCCTAACAGCCCCTGGCAGCAGCTTTAATTAGAACAGGATCTTGTCATTTCTTTGAAAAATGTATTATTTTTTTGTTTGTTCTGCCTCAGGACGGGGGAGATTCTTTCGCTTCCGGTTCCCGGCCTTACCTCTCCTGGGCATCAGCAAGCAGTCCCTTCCGCAGGAGGACCCAGACGCTGTCATGGTGGACTCCCCCCGCCACAGCGACAGCTCCGTTGCAACGCACAACTACCAACTTCCTGCCACCCGCGAGAGCTGCAGTCCCTCCTACGCGAACGACACTCGGGCTCTCATCGGGCCCAGCCATTGTTCCACCCCCATGTCTGGACCTCTGAACCACTCATCACCCAAAGGCCCCTGGGATCGGTTGTATCCAGAGCAGACCCAACACGAGAGCCAGGAGGACACACTGACAGCGGCACCATCAATCCCAGGACTCACTCCAACAGCCTCCAGAGAGACCGTGTGCAGTATACGCAGAGCCTCCTCCGTGCATGACATGGAAGGTTTTGGAACCAAGTCAAAGCTGGTCTTTAGGGACAGACACGCCAGTGAAGGTTGGGATCTCCTGCTCTACTATCCATTGTCTGATCTAACCTAACTGATCTAACGTAACTGTCTGATCTAACCTGTCTGATCTAACCTAACTGTCTGATCTAACCTAACTGATCTAACGTAACTGTCTGATCTAACCTGTCTGATCTAACCTAACTGTCTGATCTAACCTAACTGAACTAACGTAACTGTCTGATCTAACCTAACTGAACTAACGTAACTGTCTGATCTAACGTAACTGTCTGATCTAAACTAACTGTCTGATCTAAACTAACTGTCTGATCTAACGTAACTGATCTAACGTAACTGATCTAACGTAACTGATCTAACCTAACTGTCTGATCTGATCTGTCTGAAATTTTCATGCTTTTTAAGCTCAAAAGGGGGGGGGGGCGTATAATACATGAGATCGTATTATACACGAATAAATACGGTATATCAACACTGTGATACACTATGGTGTTTATTAAAAAACCTCTGCATAGAGCAGATTTATTAGCCAGAGGAGTAAGTGAGTTTGGGGGCGGGGGCATGTATCTGAAGCCATGAGTGTTGTATGCACTTGTGTGAATATCTGAAGAATGAGCCTCGTCAGCATCCAGGAAGAATTTAGTCAACAGCTCAAGGCCATGTAGGAGAGAGCCAAATTCTGTAATCAGTTGTTTTGGGAACAGAAGAGTCAGGCAGACGATAATAATTTTCCATCTGCCTTCATGTCCGCTGGTGGCAAATCCAATCAGGCAAATAGTGTCGACAAATCCCGCYGAGCCGTGCTATCAGCTTCTCCAAGATCAATTCCATTTGGCYAGCTAAGTCCAGRGACCACAGCCGRCCCGCGACCCTCAGCAGAACTGCTTGCAGACAGAGTCCAGCTCGCTCMAGGCAAAAGTCTGAGTGCTGATAGAAYGACAATCCTTCATATTGGTAAGGCAGCCAGAAAATGGCCTAAAAGCCACCAACGCTGTTTTGTAGAAACACCAGGAGACCACCAAGCCAATCTGTAGAATCCAGTGATCGGAATCCAAATAAATATCCAGARCAGACAAGAACAGAGGTCCCACATGTCCTCCCATGGAAGAAAAWACTTTGTTCCAAAAATTTATCAAGAGACCAGCTAACCAAATCTATAAAAATAAAAATATCCATGATTTCTGGTTTCGGATGAAAACGTAGAGAATGCGCCAAGCARCAAAGCAGGGAAAGATAAGGAAGGGCAGGAGAGAAGGAGAAAGCSTCTTACTCCTCCAAGAGCGGAAAAAATAATAATAAAATTGCAATTGCAGATAAACAAAATGTTAGCTTCGCTAACCACCATTCCGCTCACTGAAAAACTTAGTGGAAGCTGGTCCAGTAATTTGTTTCAAAAGTTAGCAAAAGCATTWATCTGCTAAATGAAATGCTATCCTTGCCATTAACTTTTAGCAGATAAGCCAAACTTTGCCTGATATAACTTTCTATCTAGTCTATGTACATCGCAGCTAGTCTGTGATCAGTGACACTGTAGAGTTTTTTTCTCAGAGATGATTTGATTTTTGTCCACATTTCATGGTGGTGGGCAACAACTAATGATATATTCAAGAAGATRTGAAACTGGAGCTCACAGATTGAAACTAATGATCTGATTAGTTCTTACTGGGGTGGATAGCAGTGGTCAGCATGGTTCTGCTAATCTACTAACAGCTAATAGCGAAACCAATTTTTTGTTTAGTGGACCAAATATCTGCTGTTAAATTTAGTTCTACTAACTTTACGTATACTAGAGAAAGAAAACAGTAATACTGTCATAAATGCAGCACTGCACAATTACGTCATGTATGTGCTTGTTGCATCTTYATAATTTTGTGTGTCTGCCTGCGTTGGCCCAACTGGAAGGAGACATAGATTTGTGACACAGACTGAGTGACAGCTGTTTTAGTGGTTAGAGATTTGCTTAGTGTTAGCTTCCACTAACGTTTATATGTTTAGTTTTAGCTTTAACATTTTGTTAGCTAAGCCCCCCACTGGAGGCCAGTAACACTAAAGGACATAAATTGTTTCTCATTAAAGTAACTTTGGTTATGTTTTACATCCCTGTGGTTTTAAAATAGTTTCAGTAATGAAGCATTTTCTCAGTCAGTAACTGTAGATCCTCATGTTGTTGATCCTCCCTGAAATCTAAATCCATCAGAAGGGTTTTAGTCTTCGGGGCAGAAGCACCCCTCCAGGACAATCAGTCCACTTCACTCCTTAACGACATGGTGATACGTCTTCTTCACTGTAATGAATTGTTCATGAGGGGCGGTAGCTGGGGTTTGATGCCAGCACTCATTTATTATCATGGAAAAGCAGAATTCTTCTCTCACCCCTCCCCACCCTTGTCTCTCTCCTCCTCTGCCGTCGCAGACAATGGTCGCAATATCAAAGGTAACCAACAGCAGCCTGCTGCACCCTGAGCTTTTTTAGCACGCCTGTTGGAWAATACACGTTTAATGCACACAGCCTGCTTTTTGCATGTTTGTTTCCCCCMCACACACAGCAGGTTTTATGTTGAATGCAGATGCCCTGGTGGATGACTAACATGTTTGTAGTCTGAAAAGACTGGCACAGCACTAATTGACTCGGTCTGGGTGCACGCGACCTTTGCGACCCCGGCCAGTCGCCCGTAGGAAGGCTCGGTTCAAAGAACACACTGACCCGTGCACGCGCCTGCATGAAGCAACTCTTTGTTTTCCTCTGCCGCTCGTTGTCTGTTGAAGAAAATCAATGAAGCTTTAGACGATGATGCCTCCCACTGTCTGTAACCTCTGGATCTGTGGTGCCGTATTTAAATGAACACAAACCTGACTGCTTCCATTCACAGCCCCCGTCTTTGTTTTTCACAACATGAATACTGTGGTGCTTACGCTGCATGCAGGATGGAGGACGTCATCTTACCTGTTGTAGATGTCCCTCTGAACCACCTCAGTTTGTAGAAACAGGCTGTTTATTTCATTAGCAAGCATTTCCTCCTTATTTTTCACAGCGTTAAGGACATGGTCAATTGTTGTTTTTATGAGAGTCTTCGCTCAGGCACTTCTGCTCACTAACTTTTCACCATATTTTCTATTTTTAATGCATTACAGTCCTCAGTGTCACAGTTATAGAGAAAACTTGAACAGATTATAGAGACAACTATAAACTGTCCATGTTTCCACATTTGTTAAGACTTTAACGATATACGTTACATTAATTCAACCCCACACGTTTAGCACTTTTTTCTGTATTAAATAAACCTAAAAGGCAGAAATCTAATCACAACAAGTTAGTATGTTATGGTACTGAACACACTATTATCCTACCTTCCATAAGATCACCGCTGTGTGACTGCAGGACTTCCCCTGACCTGCTACACAGGAGCACCCAGCTGTCTCAGTACTGTCGGCTGATGTAATGAGGATCCATGCAGAGAGAACATCAGACTTGGTTGGATATCAGCCTTCATGAACACCAGTTCATTGATGTTATTATTGATTAAAATCTCACCAACTTTTCTACTGTGAAGGAACTGATACACCTCTGTAGACCCATCTGCACCAAGTGAACTGTTAAAAATGTCCTCATATGCATGAGGTCATTTTTTCAAATCATCTTCACACTGAGGGATCGTTTGAGGCTCTGGTACTGATTTGACATCTTGATTGTTCAGCAATTTTTGGAAATGTTTCTACGACATAGTTCACCAGTTTAGTTAAGCTTCTGTTAGTTAGCCCTGGGAGGCAGTAAACAGGAGTGCATACATGTCAAGTTGTACTGATTGTACATAATTTACACAGATTTTCCATCATTTTGCAGATATAGCAATCTCATGGATTTTTTCAAAACCTCTGCGTACTCCATCCGAAGCCGAACAGTCATTGCGCAGTCACGTGGTTTTTCGGCGTTTGTTTTCGCACACACCTTTAATGGTCCCTGAGACACCCCGCTCCGAGCTCCTGGGGAAACCCCTCCCGCTGCAGCATACGTCACTACAGGGGGGTTCCTCCCACTGAAGTCCACAATGCAGAAAAAAAAGTCAGACACTCGTCACCCGATGTTATTTACCCACAAATCTGTTGTAGTTAAAGCTCCAAAGTTTTTATCAGTTAGATTCCACCGTGCAAAATTCTTGTTTTAACTCCATCCACGTGATTTTGGCCGTTTCACTATCTTTATAAATCGCCTCTTCCTCATGAAGCTCATGAAGTGAGTCACCTTTTTTTTTTTTTTGAGCGAGCGGTTAAAACAAAATGCAGCTTCTGAGCGTTTTCAGCACAAACAAACACTCCCACGAACTTCTAACCAATCACACAATAAGTTCTTATGTGGAGGGGGGTAAAATGTTATACCCGCGGGTTGTGTCGAGCAGCTGCCGAAATGTTGACAATACGAACAGAATGACGCAATTTTCGTCATGAAACTACGACAATCCGAACCCATTTTGGCAGTTCAGAGGGAGTATGCAGGGGCCTTTACACCACTGGAAAGTTTATTTTCAATTGTTCAGAAAGTACATTTGTAGGTTGAGCTGCAAAGTTGAGCAGCCTCAAATTTTGAGCTGCTGATACAACATGAGGAGGAGGAGCCAGGCTGTTGTGGCTGTGTATGGTTCTTCTGCATGCTATGGAAGCCATGTTTGTCAAATTAATAAATTATTGAATAACTAAAATGTTTTGTTTTTTCACACTTCAGTCATCTAATCCAAAAACAAAACAAAAATAAATAAATAAAAGTAAAAAAAAAACTAGAGTCACCATTTAACAGGAAGCAATCAGGCTTTCCAACAATAAAACATTTATTGTCAAGTAGCATTGTTACAACAAATAAATAACCAACAAAACACAACTTTCCTAACATAGATCTGGGCTAAAGTAAACCCTAGTTCACCAAACTGAAATTGTTTAAAGAGACATCTACAACAGGTAAGATACTGATTGTTTATCCCCTTTTCATGAACCTCACTTTCCCTTGAGGCGTCTCTGTTTCTAAAAAATATTCTGTAATCAGACCAAATGCCTTTTTTTATCCTTTGAGATTCAGAACTAAAATAAAATCTGTCAGGTGTTTGTTGTTAATCTCCCCATTGCAGTTGTTATTTTTTCAATTCTATCAGGATTTATTTACTGAGCTGCTGCAGTGACTCTCTGATAAAATCACAATCCAAGCAGAATGCCATAATCCCACTTTCCTCTTTACCTCCTATGTCTTCTCTCCCCTGGTTTTGCTAGTGTCACGCTCCTGGATGGCTGGGGGTATGGCTTCAGCTTTTATTTCCTTGTTTTTTATTTATTTGTTTGTTTGTTTTTCTCCCTGATGCACCCTGACTGTGGCATGTACCGATGATGCGCATGCAACCTGTCTGCCTCTCTGTCCTTGACTCTCAATCACAGTTTCTTGGTGAAAAAAAAACAGGGGAGAGGGGAGGGAACCTCTCCTCTGCTGGCTCACGCTGCTGAATCAGCAATTTTTTCACATTTTTCTCACGCTCATTAAGGCCACATGTCAGTGTGTGAGTGTTGGTGGTGTCGCTGTGTTGAATGCTTTCACTACAGGCCAGGGAGGTAATTTGTCTGTGGGGTAGCTTATAACGTTTGATGACGAAACATCTTTTAAATGTACAACAGTCTTTATCCAAGCTTCATCATTTAGTGAAATACATTTAAAACTCTAAGGTTGGATTATATGACCATGTCTTGGATTTAGTTGTTTTTATATAGTTTATACATTACAGTTTTATTGAAATGTTTACATTTACTTATAGAGATGAATGTCAAGCTATTTTTGGTTTTAAATCCCCAGTACCTATAGTCCCCAAAACCAATGCTTCCCGGTAACTATGGACCCAGTACTTATGGTCCCCACTATCGGTGGTACCCGGTATATGGTCCCCAGTACCAATGCTTCCTGGTACCTATGGTCCTGGTGCCTATGGTCCCCAGTACCAATGCTTCTTGGTACCTATGGACCTGGTGCCTATGGTCCCCAGTACCAATGCTTCTTGATACCTATGGTCCCCACTATCAGTGGTCCCTGGTATATGGTCCCCAGTAACAATGCTTCCTGGTATCTATGGTCCCCACTATCAGTATCCCCACTATCAGTAGTCCCTGGTATATGGTCCCCAGTACCAATGCTTCTTGGTACCTAGGGACCTGGTGCCTATAGTCCCCAATACAATGCTTCCTGGTACCTATGGTCCCCACTATCAGTAGTCCCTGATAACAGTATATGGTCCCCAGTACCAATGCTTCCCGGTAACTATGGTCCCCACTATCAATGGTCATCAGTATATGSTCCCCACTATCAATGGTCATCAGTATATGATCCCCACTATCAATGGTCATCAGTATATGGTCCCCACTATCAATGGTCATCAGTATATGGTCCCCACTACCAATGATCCTCAGTACCTACAGTCCCCAGTACCAATTGTCCTCTGTACCAATGGTCCTCTCTACCAATTGTCCCTGGTACCTATGGTCCCTATTACCAATGGTCCTAAGTACTAATGGTCCTTAGTACCTACAGTCCCCATAATCGATGGTCCCCACTATGAATGGTCCCCAGCAGAGCTGTACAATATTTTGCAAATTAATTGGTATTGCAATATCAATGTGTGTGTTATTCATATCAAAAAGGACTACTTGGAGTGCAGTAATTGTTGACTAATGCATTTGAAACATTTAGAAGTTCTATTTTTTGTACAAAAAATTATTTAATGAGTAGAATGGAGTCTCACAACAGCAAAAGCTCACTCCAGACACAAATGATATTAGCAAAATTGCTAAAGGTCACATACAGTAGAGTAGGACTTACAGAAGTACAAAGTGAGGAAAGAAAGAAAAAAGACATATATCGCATCTTGTGTCGTCATTGCAATATTTACAAATATTATTGCCATTGCAATATTTTTTAATATCAGGCAGCCCTAATCTCTAGTACCAATTGTCCTTGGTACTAATGGTCTTTAGTACCTACGGGCCTCAGTATCAATTGTCCCCAGTAACAATGCTTCCTGGTAACTTTGTTCCCCTGTACCAATGCTCCCCAATGCATATGGTCTACCACTACCAATGGTCCCAGGTACTAATGGTCCCTGGTACCTGTGGTCCCCACTACCAGTGGTCCTCAGAACCTTTGATACTAGTAACCAGAAACCAATGTTCCATCGAGTACACCCATCTTTATGCTTTCTGATACCTTTGATTAATGACATTTATACCCAGGATTAGTGGACGTAAACTTCTGTAGCCGAACAACTGTATCTTTTAAATGAGAAGTTTTCCAGAAAAGAGACTCCTCATTCTAGATGGATCACTTTTGTATTTCAGTGTTTGTTGTATGATAAGTGTTGTGTTGTTGTGGTTGAAAAGTGATGGGCCACTCCATTCTCACTACCCATATCACAAAACCAGACAAAACACCATGCTGTCCTCTGAGTCCCTGAACAGGAAGCCTCAGCTGTTACTGACGGTGTGTTATTACTCTGTCACTTTTCTTTTCAGGGCCTCTCAGCCACATCAAATCCAGCCTGCTGGGCTCCACCTCTGACTCAAACCTCAACAAGTACAGCACCATCAACAAGATCCCCCTCATCACGCTCAACTTCTCAGAGAGCAACAATGAGAAGAAGTGCCCCTCCCCTCCGTCCTCAGAGAAAACCATCATTGCACCCAAAGTTAAAGACCGGACACACAACGTCACCGACAAGGTCACACAGGTAAGACCTCAATCTATCCATTAACCATAATTAGAGTAACCAATGAACCTAACATTCATGTATTTGGTCTGTGGGAGGAAACCAGAGGACCTGAAAACCCCCCACGGCTGCACGGCTCCACCCAGAAAGACCCTAGGCCTTATGAAGTATAAGGCTTGGTCTACACTGCTACAAATAGATACTTTTAACTAATATATGTAGATATATTTTTGTTACATTAAATTAAAACAGTTTAACCTTCTTATTCTAAGAAAGATTCTCCATAAATGCCCACAACAAAATATAAAAACAAAGTTGATTACAATCTCAAAAAAAAACCGTGGCGTGTTTCCTCTCAGTTACTAACCATTTTACTCGTAGTTTAGTGGTGAAAAAATACAACAAACCACTCCGTTGTTGTGTTCTTTGGGGCAGCGGTTCCCAAACTTTTCAGCTTTTGGCCCACAAAACACCAGCAGCAGAGACCTGTACCCCCAGCTGTTGTTGGTTGATAAACATTGTTTTCACATCAAATAAACAAGAGCATAGTAACATTATTTATTATGCTATTTTGTCCATTTTAAGTACACTAATCTCATTATTTTGTAACAACAAAGGTAAAAAAAATATGCTCTTAGTTGTCGTTTTTTAGTGTAATTAATTCAGAAAATATTTTCAGGACCCCACCTTGATGTTTTAGGACCCCACTGTGGGACCAATGCTTTAGGTTACAAAGTGGGCAGGAACTAAATAAGCAGCTATGTCCTGTTTTTGACAAGCTTTTTATAATGTGGACAGCAAAATGTCTCAAACACTGCCTGGCCAAAAAAAGAAGTGTCCACCTGGGTATAACTCAGGGCTATGATGTGGGGTTGCTGCAGTTGGTCAGGTTCAGCAACAGTAAGCTGCTGACTTATATGTGACATAATTTTCACACATGGGTTGGTTCCACAGAGTCCAATGAGAATCTTTGGGATGTGCTGGAGAAGGTCAAACTCTACCATCATCAATGAAAGATCTTGGTGAAAAATTACTGCAACACTGGATAGAAATAAATCTGGTGACATTTCAGCTTATCCAAACAGTGACACAGAGAATGTGTGCCGTAATCAAAACTAAAGGGGCGAAATTATGTGTTTCTCTGGCATCTATTTAAGTTCATTACCATAAAAAAGTATCTATGTCACCTTCAGTTGTTGTTAAAATGTTGCTTTTATAGAAAATAAACTTGCTCTGTGATGAGGAAGCTCAGCTTGGAGACACAGTTCAGAGGAGGAGCTGGTCCCAAAAGGTGGTTCTAGTCCTAACCAGTGGTTTTTGCTCTTCTGCCTGCTGCCTCAGGACACTACAGGATTTCTTAAACATGCATGAATGAATCAAAGCAAGACTCCGGGCATGTTTTTGATGGGAGAATAACATTATAACATGATATAAAGCTAAAAAAAGTTGATTTTACATGAAATAGCCCCTTTAAAGGGGACCTATTATACAAAATTCATTTTTGAAKGTTTTTTTTACTCAACTTTGGGTATGTACTTTTTTAAAAAACAGTCCTAGGACCAAAAATAGGAAACCCAGGGGCATATTTACTGTTAATAAATGTATTTTTAATGTGTATTAACGACAAGTTTTATACTTCCGTCATTTTGTGATGTCACAAGCCGTACGACAACCCACCAGAACCTGCATTCAGCCCCTTACCTAGCAACCCCCAGGTGAGGCTCCACCTCCTCAGTATAAAGAGCCTTCATGGTGTTGTTGTGCAATGTGCAGCTTGTTGTTCAATAAGCCTCTAATAGGGCAATGGGTAGAGTGTTGGACCAGAGAGTGGGAGACCAGGGTTTGAGACCAACACAGAAACAATTTAATTATTTATTTATTTTCGTTTGTTATGAACACATTTTCTCATGTCCCTCTATTGTTTAGCTTATTAAAGTCTTGTTAAAGCCTATTTGTTCGAGTTTCTGAGGTATTTTGACCGCTGCTGCTCCCTGCTCTGGTAACAGCATGCAGAGTGAGCGCAGAGCAGAGGAGGAGGAGGGAAAAAAAAAGAAGCTGGGACCACGACTCTGCCTCTGGGTCTCATATGGTTGTACAACGGAGCTTCTGCTATTATTAGCCATGCTAACGTAAACGCTGGCTTTGGAGGGCGGAGTTAATGTCAACAGATTTTTGGAGGGCGTTACCAACAGAGCTCATTAACATAAACAGCTCTTCTGAATGGAAGTCAGAGCAGGCAGAACTAGAAAATGGGTAATTTTATTATCTGAGAATTATTTTGTGCATTAAATTGAATGAACATGGTCTGGATAGGCCACAGACATACCATAAACATTTCTAGGACCCATAATTGGTCTCCTTTAAAGGCGGTCCAACCAATATTAGAGTGTGTGACTTTTTCATTGGAAAGGCAGTGTATTTTGAAAAACATTTAAATTTATGTTGACTTACAGCAAAGAATGCGGAAGGCAAAATTAGAGTTAAATGAATACATTGACAAAAAAACAAATTCTTCATACAACGACTTCGATTAGAAAATTTTGAACATAGTAATAAATCAGGAAGATTTTTAGCTAACCAGCTTAAAATAAATAAAGAAAAACCAACTATATCTGGTATTAAAAACATAACTGGGAATATAGTTTACGATCAGGGAGAAGTAAATAATGTTTTCAGAGACTTCTATCAAGTTTTATACACTCCGCAGATAAACCCTTCAGATAAGGATATTGAACAATTTTTGGAAAAAGTGTCACTTCCAACATTATCCAGTAACCAGTCTTTAGAACTAGACTCTCCAATAACATCAGCTGAATTATGTGAAGCTGTTAAAAACATGCAGAACAAGAAAGCCCCAGGTCCGGACGGGTTCCCAGCAGAATTTTATAAAGAATTCTGGAATATTCTGGGACCAGTATTTTTCAGAATGCTTCAGGAATCAGAGGAAAATGGCARGCTTCCATTACATATGAATTCGGCCAACATAAGTCTCCTATTAAAACCAGGTAAAGACCCAGTACTGCCTACAAGTTATCGTCCCATTTCCCTTATTAATGTTGATGTTAAAATAATTTGTAAAGCTCTTATTTTTACATTTCTTAGAGTTTTTTTCAGGTTGTTCTTAATTTCCCTGTTTTTGTTGATACAGCATTATAAAATACAAATCTGTTTGTAATTCTCATTAAAACGAAACAAACTTAAAACTCAAACAAAACTTGTAGTGAGTGCACAGCTAACCAAAAAGTTAGCTTTGCTAACTCAAAATCCGCTAACTAAAACTTTAGCTTCACCAAAGTTAAACATGTAGAAACATGAGCAGAACCTAAGGCTAAACAAGTATAAATAACAGCGAGAGTTAAGAAAACCCCCTTTTCTCACTGCGTTTAGACATAAAAGAGGACGTCTGAGCAATGTGCAGGCAGAAGGGAGAGGTTTTAAAACAGGAGTTCCAAGCTGCAGCGTCCTGCCTCCATCTGCCTGTGAGGAAATGTGAAGGGAGCCAAGAGAACAGGGAACAAGGGAACAGGGAACAAGGGAACAGGGAACAAGGGAACAGGTCTGCTCCACAAACCTTCATCCCTGCTTCAGAAGGACGCAGGAGTCCCGAGCTGATTTCAAGACATCTGCTGTCACTTTGTGTTTCTTCAGTGCGAGGTGTCGGGGGAGCTGTTTACAGACTCACACTGTAGAGGACGGGGACATGGTCCAGTCCTCCTCCATCCCCTGTGATCACTGCAGTGGATATTAAAGGTCTCTGTAATCCTGAGAACAGGCCAGGTTTGTGTGACGTAAAGAAATGAGACCAGAAGGAAATAGTTCAAACAGTTTTTCCACTTTTTAGATTCCTGCTCTGTAAAGCAAATACTCCATGTGTAACTGTAAAAAAACAAACTACAGTAGAGTGATGGGACAGGAGTGCACAGCTAATACTTTGTCAAAGTACCATAAAGAACACACCTGTTATCAACGTACAACATGGCTGCTGCTGTATGGTTAGTGTTTGCTTCTTCAGCTAAACTTCAAATACCTGTTCCTTTGGGCCTTCAACTTTCATGTGTCAGCTAGAAAACTGAGGAGGAAATTTACATTTCATAACGATGCCAGGCCTAAATCCCAGTAAAGAAAAGAACGGCTCCATCACTTCACATGCATCTACAGTCCCCTCCAAAAGTACTGGAACAAGTCGACATTTCTTGTTTTTGTTGTTCACTGAAGACATTTGGGTTTAAGATCAAAAGATGAGGCAAGAGTTCTGATTGTCAGCTTTTAGATTCTTAGTTAGCTGTTGGCAGAACTAAAGTTGGCGAAACTTATTTTTGTAGAAGCTAACTGGTCTGCTAACAGTTTTCAAAGTTAGTGAAAAGTTTATTTTGGATCTGTGCCCACCACTGCAGAGAAGTATGGAACTGTTTTATAACCATATCTGCACCTATTCAGGACTGTAGAACAGCTAAAATCCTACATCAGACCAGGATGGAACAATTCCCTCCAAAAACTCCTGAACTGCTAACAGTTTCCAAAGTTAGAGAAAACACTAATCTGCTAAATGAACGTTAGCTTTGCTTCAAGCTGTTAGCTGATTGGCAGAACTGTGCCCACCACTGGTTACAACAAAAATAATCAAATTTTACCTGTGCCGTGGTTAAAGTGTATCTTACCCCCCCGTGAAAAGATAACTCCGCCCCAAGGCGAAATTTGAAAAATGCATCAAAGTGGGTAGGGGA